GAATTGAATTGAACTGAATGACTAAGGCACTTTTAAACCCTCACTAAAAACCCCACCAAATTTAAAGTCCAAGCAGTCTTACAATAGCCACAATTTTTGGTATTAATCAGTTATGTTCCCATTATAGCCCACTACAACATTCTTCACAGACCCTCCTTGGATATAAGAACTGTGAAACCTGCAAAGAAACCAGAGTATTGAATCTGCCAGGTTCAGACAATATAAGGAAAGAGCTTTCAGTTTGCCTATAAAATGCATTGAATATCAGTTTGTTAGCCTTTATTGTCAGCTATTTAAAGAAGAAATAGAACTGAAGCTCAAAAAAAAAAAAACCCATGGCAACCAGCCTGTTCTTTCCTTTTTCTAGAGATAGAATTATAGAATTGGGCTGGGTGGGGTCTTCTGGTCTCCATTCTTTTTCTAAGTTCTCAGTTGTCTTCCATTCCTTATCCTTTGTTCAGTGGGCCATGAGAGAGAGGCTTTTCAAAAACATAACCTCCCACAACTTCCCTGGACAGCTTGTTCCTTCACCCTGCTACACATTTGCCTGTAAACTAGAACACCTCTTATAATGGTTGTCTGAATGTGACATTACAGTAAGTAGGTGGAACAAATTCACATGGGAAAAAATAATTTCCCCAAGTTAAAACCGTCATGGAAATTTACCAGATTCTTCATCATGTTCAGCCCTTCATTTTCATTTGAACTTGCCTCTTGGGAAAAGAACTCACTTTCCTCTCAAAATAAATAAAATAAAAATAACTTGTAAATTATCTAATCACCTGATTCAACTAACTATCCCTAAATGGACATAGAATCACAGGCGCACTGTCCCATAACATTGAACTGTCATCCAACACAATTCTAGCCAACAGAATCCAGTATCCTTGGACCTAACCCAGCTCATTTCCTCAGTGTACCTTATTTTATGGTTAATCCATGAAGTCAGTACTTTTCCATTTGAGAGATATGAAAGCTTGGAATTTCAAAATTCATACCAGCACATTGTACCACACTGTGTTAGAGAAGATATTGTTTTTAAAAAGTCCAAGTCTGATTATTATTGAAGGAATTTTATCATGGTTTTTGGAAGTCATGCCTCCTTATTACATAGAAAGGGGTAATTCCTAGGATCATAGATTTAGGGCTGGATGAAAGTTCTCCAAATCCAATGACCTTATAGATGAGTAAGCAACAGACCAAAGAAAGTGGCTTGCCAAAGTTCGTACAGGTAGTAATTGGCAGACTCCAAAGCCAGCAGTCTTTCTACTTCTACTGCAATAACTGAATCAATTATTCAGATCATTCAGGCCTTACATCCACTTTTGCCAGAACTCTCTAGTTAATAAGTGAATGAACAAAAAAGCATTTGCTAAGCTCTTACTGTCACTATGTTAGGTTCTGGGGTTACAAGTAGAAAGCAGAGGATGTTCCTGCTCTCAAGGAGACTACATTCTCAAAGAGAATAGAACCCATGTAGGAAGTTTCAGCTTCAAATCAAATGGAAAAGCCTTCTGATCCTTTAGATGCAACAGCAAAGGAGATGAAATTTATCACCGTTAATGTCATTCTTGCTGATAAAACTATTCATTTCTGATGTCAACCCATTTGAGAATGCCTAGGATTTTGGTGCTGAGGAAGCAGGGGTGGTGGTACCTGCGGAAGCAGTTTCCTGGTCAAATCTCCATAGGAGTTGGTTCCCCTCAATGATGGCTGCAAGGGCCAGGCTGGAAGTAGGGCTGGTAGAATTTTCAGGGCTCTTGGTGTAAAGATCCTAGCCTATCTCTATCTGATCCTGAAGGGTGGTGGTGGAAGAGGTGACAATGGTTTTGACCCCCTGGAGCATGTTGCCTCCCATTTCTCCCTCAGAGTGCCTTGCTGCTTCTATTAACTTAGTTAACTAGGTAAACCCAGGCTTGTAATCTGCATTAGTGTAGTAGACCCTGGCTTAAAATACCATGATATTGGCTTGGATTGATATATCATTGGAAAAAAAGTGAAAGGAGCAGATGTTTGGAATGTTTAATACCTTAACTTCCCTCAAAAGTAGAGAATATTATCACTAATCCACAGAGTGCATAGGTCTCCAGCGATAATTAGATAGAATCATTTCCCCCCCAACAACCATAATTACAGCAATGCACTGAACATTGCTAATCATGGAAATGAATTTCACATTCAAATTTACCTGCCTGATGAAATACAGAAAGTCCATTTAAGCTAAACCAAATTACCTGCTGAGCTAAAGGAACTCTCAGAATTCAGTGGCACTACTTTTCAGCCTGTGAATTACAGAGCCATTATTTGGCAATGGAAAAACTCCGATGGAAAACTTATCATATTTGAGATTTGAGAATGACTCAGGAAAGAGGCAAGCTCTTTTAAAAGCTATCAGATAGTTTTGAAATTTTAAATAATTTCTGTAATACCTTAGATTTTGTGGAGCCTTTTACAAATATCATCTCATTCTATCCTCACAACAACCCTGGGAGGTAGTTGCTAATATTTTCCAAATTTTACAGATGAGGATACTGAGTCAAATATTGTGTGTCTGGGGTCACAAAGCTAGTAAGTGTCTGAGGTCAGGTTTGAACTCAGGTCTTCCTGACTCCAGGTTTAGAACTTTGTCCACTGCTACTAGGTACCTCTTATCCTTTGGTTCCAGGGATGGGGAACCTGTAACCTTGAGGCCACACTTGGCCTCCTAGGTCCTTGTGTGTGGCCTTTTGACTGAGTCCAAGTTCTACAGAACAAATTGTTTTATTAAGGTGATTTGTTCTGTGAAGTTTGGATTCAGTCAAAGGACCACAGCTGAGGACCTAGAGGGTCACAGGTGGTCTCAAAGCTGCAGGTTCCCAAGCCCAAACTTTTACAAAGCAAGTTAAAACCTTTGGAAAGGAAACAAATCATTATTCTCTGTAATTAAGCTACTTCCTCCTTTGATTAAGCTACTTCCTCCTTTGAAGAGGTATCATGATATGACTGTGGCATATATGTGGTGCATAGAGGACCAACCTTGAATCCAAAAAGTCCTGAATTCAAGACCTCCCCCTCATTCATGCTGGTTGTGTAACCACGATTATCGTGTCATTTTACCTTTCAGTACACCAGACAACTTTCTTAACCTCATCAATTAAGGGAGTTAAGTGAATGTGGATATTCATCTTTTGCCTGAATTCTAGTTCTTTAATGTATCCCTCTACCTCCAGGATCTCTTTTCTTTAGTCATTTCTTCATGCAGTGGACAATTTAATATTTGTTAATACATAGGTCTGATCATGTTTCACCTCTGCTCAAAAGCCTTCTATAAAGCTCTCTATGCTTTATGTGATTAACATATAACCTTCCGAGCCTGGCCGTCCCTCATCCAGCTCCAATCACCCTTCTGGGCTTTTCCTTATTCTTTTTCATTCTAAGTTCCAGCCAAATTTACTTATTACCAATTTCCGGATCTCTTACATTTTCTCAGGCCCTATTCCATGCAGCCTTCATTGACCTGTCAGATGAAAAGTGGTCTCCCAATCCTCAAATTTTCTTAGACTCCAGATCTCTCCCCCCTTACTCACCTAAGAACTCTTTTCACCCCCGCTGATCAACTAGTGTATGACTTAATAGATAAATCTTACGATGTTGCCTAAGCACATCCAAGTTAAATGTTTTGTCCAGTGGTTTACAACTAATAAGTATCAAAGGAGGAATTTGAACCCAGGGCTTTTTTTCCTTAAACAGAGGATGTAGCTTTCTTCATTGAAAAGCAGATTAAACCCAGTAAAATAAGCAGCTGGTTCTGTAAGGTTTGATTTCAGAATTCAATGAAGAATTTTATATAGGTTCACACTATAAAAAACAAAAGTACCCCAAATCACTACAGTCTTTCTTCCTTTGAGGACTGTCACACTCCATTTCTGGAACACGAGAAGCAGAAAGGCTGCATTTGAAAATAAATTTATTGAATGTAGAGCTTTTTGACTCTAGCTCTAACATTCTCCCCATCAGACCTCTACATGATCTCACATTTATTTCTGCATTCTGTATCTCCCTTATCAGACTTAAGGTCCTTGAAGGTAAGGGCCATATTGTTTTTCTTCTTTAAATACAGATTTCGTAAGTGTTTGTTGAACTGAATCAATTGAGTACTTCCTTCTTCCCTCTCTACTGTGAAAGGGCCAAAAATTGCCTAAGTCCAAAAGACTTCTGGAAACCTTGAGGAGAGGTAAAAAAACCCTAAAAAAAAGATACATCTTTTAAAAGGTCCCATGTATATATTGCATAGCTTTACTTTATACAGCAATTACCTTCAATCATGGAATCATACAATTTAAAACTGGAAGAGCCTGTCAAGATAATCTAATTCAACTTTCTTATTTTTTTATAGCAGAAGAAAATGAGACCAGAGAAGTAAAACAACTTACCCCGGGTCAATAGCTAGTATATTATCAGAATCACGGTTCAAACTAAGATACTGACTCCAAATCTGTTGTTCTTTCCACTATACTATGATTCAATGTAGCAGTGATCAGCTGTCACAAATTGACCATGACAGTAGTGTCTAATTCAACACTGTCCAGTGGGTAATCAATAAATGTTCACGTGATTAAGTTCAATGATGTATAGACAAGAAAGAGAAAATAGGAGTTCCTAAAAGAGCAATTTTAAAAGCTTTCATTCCCAGTTTTTTAAATCCTTTTTTATTTAATTAAATCAGTATTTCTGATCTTGGCCTTGGTTTGGTTAACTGAGACTTATTCATAAAAAAGCTGTTTATTTTCTGAGGAAGAGTATACCAAATCATTTAAATTTCTTTTATTATGATTTCTACTTTGGGGCCTGAAATAAAAGCCTAGAAACCTTGACATGGGGTTTTACCGTCTGTGATCCTCAAGTCTTAGGACTTGAATCTATCAAGATTTTATCAGTCCTGTCAAAGGCTGGAAAACGGACCTTAGCTATAACATGAGACCAGATCTGGCCAGGTAATTATTCTTCTCCATTATACTTACCAGGACCATTGTACTATGAAGTAGATTGTTCTGACTCCTATATGCTGTATCCTCCTTTTATCCCCTGAAAAAGAGAACAATTAATTAGTCAAAGGGGATTTTCTCCCCCTTTCACAGTCCCAGTGGCTATAAAGTTGGATGGATATCTCAACTTTGTCAATATCTACTCCAACTTACTTGGATTCAAACTGGAGGAAAGGGATATTTTTGCCTTTTGTACTTTAGACATTATCTAAAAAATATAAAAACAAAGGACAGAATCTTGCCACAAAGGTGACTTCATTCTGATGCACTTTCCAAATAGACTGTATTAACTCAGTGCTGAACTCTTAATACAACTTTTTTTCTCTCATCATCTGAAGTCTCAGTAGTACATTGTTGAATGGTGGGAGATATCAGTCATTTCAGTATTCATTAAAATTTTGGCCACAAGCCATTAAACTGAATTCAATAAGCTGGAGCTTTGGAATTTGCATTAGTTCTTTAAACAAAGGCTCCTTCCTGGACAATGAAAATTTTAGTACAATTTGCTCTCCCAGTTGCAGAGAGTTCACAGAGAGTTCAAAGGGAAGAAAAATAGCTGGCTTCTCTATTGTTCTTCTTCCCTTCCCTGATTCCCACCGTGACCACACAGCAACATTTTAAATAAGCCAATAGATCTGAAATGCTACTTGTCCTTCATACCAGTAAGTTAAACTCAGTTAACTTTTATTAGGCTATTCATTCCATGAGGTTAAAGTCAGTTAACATTTATCGGACAGTCCGTGCAAATCATATAATCATAGAGCTAGAACCGGATGACATCTACTCCAATTCTCTTATTTTGCAGATGAGGCAACTGAGGCCCAAGGAGGTTAGTCCTTTAAGAAATGGAAATATTGAATAGTGAAGATCTCCTTGATACCTAGCCCAAATGAGTTTATAATCTATATCAAAACTAATTAAGAGAAGGTCCTCATTGGTCTTTGTTTTGGCTTAAATGGAAATGTACCAGATTTACTATCACATTTTACCTGAAGTTCATTTCACAGACATTGGGGCTCCCGGATACTGGCATAGCATATGAACTCCTGCCAGATTCAAGTCAGAGGACCAGGGAAATACATGGATGAATTTTTAAGCTACTACATGCAGACATGATGATGACCATTTCAATATATGTGGGATGAATGTTTATGAGATTAGAGATTTAGTCACATCACTAAAGACTGGTAAAGAAAACAGAGATTTTTTACCCCATCTGTATAATAGGATAACAAGGAAGTTGTCCCAACTGTAGCAGACACCTATTACCCTTACCTTGGCCCAAATTCTTTCAGGGTTTTCAAATGTAAGATAATAATTTGTTTATAACGTTTCATAAATTTATAACAAGCATGGTTTTATCTGTTCCTTACCCTAGAACTCTGGGAAATCTCCAACTGTAGTTTCTGTCTCATTTCCCTTTTCAGATTTTAATCTCCATCCTAGCTTCTCATTCCCCAAAAGGAAAGCACGTTCCCATTATAGTTGAGGTATATTTACAGTGAGAAATAGAAGGATAATAAAAAACAGCACTGAGACACCCCAAGCAGCTGCTCACTGCTCAAGTAAATGGATCATCCATTTCCAAACCTAGCAGCTGGCACCACACTAATGACTGAAGTCATACATTTGGTCTTTCCAGAAGAACTGCTAGGGTAGCACAGCCTGAATGCTTCCCAAAGGAACCGGTTTTGTCTAATCGACATGCCTTCCTAAGGAATTTCCCTGGGGTAGAAATTCTTCCCAGGGTAGGAAATTATTCAACATTCATAAATATGAGAGAGAAAAATATGGAGATGTAACCTAAAAATCTGAGGTAAATCTATTGTTGTTGTTATTCAGTCATGACCAACTCTTTGTGACCACATGGACCATACTGTCCATGGGGTTTTCTTGGCAAAGATACTAGAGTGGTTCGCCATTTTCCTTTTCCATTGGATTAAGGCAAACAGAGGCTAAGTGGCTTGCACTTAACCTAGTCAGTGAGTGTCTGGGGTCACATTTGAACTCAGGTCTTCCTGACTCCAGGTCCAGGGCTCTATCCACTGAGATGTCTAGCTGCTTCCTGGTAAACTGACTACTTAGTAAATTTCAGCAAGACTTTATTGGCCTTCTCTCTGGATTCTTCTTATAGGGATTCCTTCAGAGAGGTCATAATTGACAGCATTTTGCCAAGTCACATTGCCACATTTAACATTTAAGGGAAGTAGATAGATATGCAACCCTTGGTTCAAAGTGCTCTTTGCATAAGACTTTCCTCATTGATAGAAACTGATTACTCAGTGCTCTAGGCCTATGTAAAAAGGTGGGAAGAGCCCTCTTCTCTCCACTTGTCACTAACTCTTCCTCTCCTACAAATGTGGAACATTGAATAACCGGTCTCCAGTAATGAGGAAAGACTTATGCATACAGCCCTTTGAGCCAAGGTGAATGATAACTATATAGCTAGATGGATGGATAGATAGACAGAAGAAAGAAAGAAAGAAAGAAAGAAAGAAAGAGAGAGAGAGAGAGAGAGAGAGAGAGAGAGAGAGAGAGAGAGAAAGAAAGAAGGAAGGAAGGAAGGAAGGAAGGAAGGAAGGAAGGAAGGAAGGAAGGAAGGAAGGAAGGAAGGAAGGAAGGAAGGAAGGAAAGAAAGAAGGAAGGAAGGAAGGAAGGAAGGAAGGAAGGAAGGAAGGAAGGAAGGAAGGAAGGAAGGAAGGAAAGAAAGAAAGAAAGAAAAGAAAGAAAGAAAGAAAGAAAGAAAGAAAGAAAGAAAGAAGGAAGGAAGGAAGGAAGGAAGGAAGGAAGGAAGGAAGGAAGGAAAGAAAGAAAGAAAGAAAGAAAGAAAGAAAGAAAGAAAGAAAGAAAGAAAGAAAGAAAGAAAGAAAGAAAGAAAGAAAGAAAGAAAGAAAGAAAAGAAAAGAAAGACGGATAGCCCCTACCTCAAGGAGAATATAATCTTAATGGGAAAAGATAACACATAAAGAAGAAATGGAAATGGAGAAGGGTAGGGCAAGCCTACTGGCAAAGAGGCAGAGTCCAGAAATAAGTAGTGGAACTGAGTGAAGTGAGTATAGCTTGGGTTCCTCATGAGTTCAATAAATTATTGAGGGTGATAGGGGCAGGGGTGACAAAAATAATTATGCATGATTGTCAGAATTAAAACTTGTTTAAGCTACAGGCACTCCAAGTTTAGAGGCAACATAGTGCCAGGGCTAGAGGGCTGAATGTGGGGTCAGATGACCTTGGTTCCAATCCCATTTTTGCTGTTTACTACCTTTATGAAACTCAAACACTCTCCGTAGTTTCCTCACTGTAAAATGACTTCTGAGATCTCTTCCAACTCTATGTCTATTATCCTATTTCCCTGCAAGGACTGGGATAGCCAGGTGATTTTCAGGAAATTATGCTTCCCAGATTCTGGCTTGAGTCAAGGGAAGTAAGACAAACTTGCAGAACGTAATCTGGGTGCCCTTCATGCTACCTGAATGCCTCTGGCATGAGGGTTACATAAGTAAATTAGCATCATTGAGTCTAAAAGTTCTTTCTGGGAGAGTTTCAAGGACAGCAATGACTCTGTAAGTAGGGAAAAGCAGTGTCAGAAAGAAGGCTTTAGCCTAATTCAGCAGACTAGCAAGGGCTGGGAACAAATTAGACAGATCCAGACTTGAAAGTCCATAAAGTCTCTAATCTTCACTTCCCTCCAAAGGCATCTTGCATGTCAACAGCTCCTTCCTTCCCTAGCTTCACAGCATGTTCTCTAGCTAAGGCTAGGAGGCATCTAGGGAGATCTGCCCATATGTTCTTCTATTAATATCTAATTGTCATAAACCCTTTCTAAAGAATACTATGAGGGCAGCAGGATAGTGACAGCAAACGCATGTCCCTGGTTGTAGCTTCATAAAGATAGTCAGTCTTCTAAGGATGCGAGAAATATCTCTGAGATGAGGCACTAGTTATATATTTATTGATTGCTGAAGCAAAAAAAATGCAAAACTTTCAAAAGTAAAACCCAGGTTATATTGTATTAGATTGTCATCCCAGTGAGGAGTGAGGGGAAGAATACTAACCTTGGAGTTAGGAGATCTGGGTTCTGGTCCAGGCTCTTCTACTGACTATGTGACCCTGCTATGTTACTTCATTCTTTGGGCCTCAATTTTCTCATCTATCTAATTAGAGGCTTCAACTAGATGAATTCTAACATCTCTTTCAGTTCTAAGATTCTTCTTCTGTGTTCCCCTTTGAATATATAAAATTTTCAAAAAAAAATTATATTTCATTGGGCTTTCTCTGTTGCCTGGATTCATTCATTCGGAAAATATTTAAACACCTTTTTTTCAATACAGCATCCTACTCTATCCTCCAACTCCCAAACACACAAACTCAGCTTCAGTGCATTGGAAATGATGTGTGGGGAAATCAAACTGTGACTTTTCCCATAGAGGAAGAAACTTGCCTGGATAGGTAGCAGCATTGGCCAGGCTAACTTACAATCCTGTAAGATTTGTATCCAGAGGATTTGAGTTCAAATCTCAGATATACTACTTCCTAAGTGTGTGGCTGAGGGGTTTAGACTGCAAAAGAGAAGAATCAGGTGGGATAAGATAACTTTCTTCTGGTACTTGAAAGACTGTCATGTGGAGGAGAGATAAGATTTATTTTATTTTACCCCAAAGGTAAGAACCAGAAGCAGTGGGTAGAACTTTCAATGAGACAAGCTTAGATTTGTTGAAAAGAAAAACCTCTTAACAATGAAAACTGTCCCAAAGTGGAAGTGTCATTTTCCAGAATACAGTGGGCTCTTCTTCTCTGGAAATCATTTTTAGCAGAGGCTGAATGTGTATAATTGATCAAGGCATGTTATAGTAGGGTTTCTTTGGGGAGTATGGGTTGGTCTAAATAGTCACTTTAATCCCTTCCAACTCTGAATTCTATGATTCTGTCAAGTTATTTCACTTTTTTAGGCATCAGTTCATTCACTGGTAAAATGAGAAAGCTTGATTATTTCATGCCATAGAACCTTTGGCAGTCTGGGGAAGCTTATGGACCCTTTTTCAAAAT